ATGCTGAATTAGATACAATGTAACAAACGACAGTCAATTTGTTATAATTTTCATGTCATATAACTGAAATTTTGCCACATTGAATCATATGAATATTTTCCGAAAGGTCTTAATTTTGAAAAATGCTAAATTATGTATGGTATAATAAACGACAGTAGATTTGTTATAATTTTTGTACTGAATTTTAAACACAAGCCGAATTTTTGTCAAATAGTATGACCGAATCGGCTAAATGTTTACTGAAAGGTCATAGTGTCGAAATAATGCTAAATTACGCACAATGTAATAAATGACTATCGAATTTTGTAACTTAAGCCGAATTTTTACCAAATCACATGACCGAATCGGATGAATGTCAACCGAAAGGTATTAGTGCCGAAAGAAATGATGGGGACTAGTGATGAGATGCTATACTAATTTTTGAAAATTTCAAATTTGAAAATTTCCATTTTATTCATAAATGTTCATCCTTTTTTGATGTTTTTCAGCAATGAGAATTTTGAAAGATTTGAAAAAAAATAAAATTTCCTTGCCAGCCTTATTTTTTTATTACTAATAACTTCAGATTTTTGTAAACTTTATTAAAAAATTCTATGCAAGTTTCATTTTCAAGATTTTTAAGTTTTTCAATGATTTCTGGTTCCAGTTCTTCAGAACTTTTAGATTCTGATCTCTCTTCATAGCTTCTTATTCAAGTAAATTACTTTGTGTACTTTTAATACTTTGATAAGTTTTTTTGATAACCATATAACATTCATATAAAATCCTTATTTTAAGCATATTTTATATTAATTAGTGAAATGTCTGCTATTATAGTTGAATATATATTAAAATATTATATCATATACAATTACAACATATATATGAATATATATTAAAATATTATGTCACATATAATTACAATATGAATATCAACATGTATATTAATATAATTATAATAACGATTTATTTTACATTATAATATGTATATTATAACAATTACAATATTATTTATAATATGTATGTTGATATTAGTATTACATTAATAAAATATTCCTATTATATAATTAAATAGTAAAATTCGTTTAAAATATATTCTTTACTATTATTATCATGTGAATCCTCCAAACAAAGATTTGTGCATTTATATACAAAATGCACTTTAGGTTGCCGATCAACAATTATTAAAGAATGAAGATGAAACCATAAAGTGTCATTATTGTCTTGCAATCTATAAACTGAAAAACCCGTTGCAGAATCAATATTTCCATTTTTGTAAAACCAATCAACTAATAGAAAGGGATTGATATGTCTATTATCATCTTTGTGGATTATAATCGCTCGTATTAATGCATATGCACTTTCACCAGGATTGTCAACATCTTCTACATCAATTGCTTCACCAACTCGTAATATAATATTAGTATAAATATCATCTAAATATACAATATATTTAATAGAATCATAATAGTTAATATGACGTTGAGTAATAATACTACAAGTATTGTATACATCCTTATAAATTCTTGTGATTTCAGCCAAAAGATTTTCTACAGAAATAGTAGTTAATAAACCTTGCTTTTGAACTTTATATTATTTTCATAATCCATGAACTTGAATATTTCGAAAGTTAGGATGAATGGATGAAATTCCTAATATGTTTACTGTAAATTTAAATAAAAAATAAAATTTTTTAAAATTACAAAAGAAAATTATAATATTTAATACCAGAATTATTAGCATTTGCATCTTCAGTATCGGCTTGTAGTAAAGGAGTTTTAATATATCAACCATTCAATAATTTACATAATTTTGCATCACATGCAACATTAGAAAATAAATTATTAACTTTATTATATCTTGTATCTAATCCACCATCTAATAAATATCTTATAGTTTGAAGAGTATTATCACGTTTTGAAAGATCCATTAAAATATCTTTTTTGTTTGTATGTGGAACAACTCTCTTATATAATCCATGTACTGCTTCTTTTAAAGAAACTGAAGTATTAACTAATGTTCCAAAATTAACTGCAACTTCAGGTAAGTGTCGAAGAATATGAAGATTTGGTAAGCTTGAAAATGTTTCTCCAAAAACCTATTATAGTAAATTAATTATAAATGTATAATTAATTAAATTAGTATCATAGTATATAATTAATTTTTTAAGTATATATTGTATTATTAATTTTTAAAATAATTAAAATAATTAAAGATTACCTTTAATAATATTTCAGTAACTTGCTCAAGTGTTTTTTTCAAAGAAGCATAATCATTATATATATCAGTTATAATATATGATGATTTAAATACAGCCTTACAAGCTTTAGCCATTTTTACCCAACAATTCACAATAATATTTGAAACTTGTGTTCGGTTACCTAAAGAATAATTGTTGTTTTTTATCTTATTAATAATTTCAGCCTTATAATGTCTATGATTAATAGCACGAATTAAGATATAAGACATTATTATAGTAAGGCATAATGAATCATTCATCCAGTAACTATCTCGATGAGTGATCGGATTTTGTAATCTATTCTATATAGATAGTGTTTCAAATGCTCGCCAGGTTTTTACAAATTCTTTATGTCCTTTATCATTTATTGATTTAAATGTTTCATCAAAAAGACGTCTCACTAAACCTGCTAAACAATGATATGGATCCTGAGGAACTTGTATATATCGATTACGAATAAGATGATCAAGAATATTTTTTCTAAGGCAGAGTTCATGCTGTTTTGCTATATTCTCTTTAGCAGATTTTGTGAATGCTTGTTTGATTTCTTGAAAATAAAAATTTGTGATATGACAGTATCTGCTATTTGCTTGGATATCAAAATATTTATCATTAAGTTTTTCTTGAGTTACTTCACATGTACGACATCCACGGTCTGCATTATGTCGTCGAACTCCTGCCATATCATTGCCTTATGGTAAATCAGCAATGCACATACTAAGACCTTCAGAAACTAATACTCTTTCACCATTGCAATCAGTCATAATAATTCCATCTTGTAATTTTCGCATTTGTTGAATAAATGGTTTGATAAAATCTACAAATTTTGCACCAAATGGAACCAAACTAACTAAAAAATGATTTTTGAGACGTTGTCTCATCAAAAGTGGCATATTCCCGATTTGTATATAAAGTTCGCCAAGCTTATGGTATGCCTTGACAAATGCGTTAAAGTCGTCATAGTACAAATCAATAAAGAATTTTAAATGTCGTAAGTTAGATGAAAGAAATGGTCTTTGAAAATTATACTGATATGGTAATTTATGTCATTAGTATATTTTCCTAATTTTTGATCGATTATTATATATATACAGAATTTCTCTGATCTTAAAATCATAATTTGCAGGTTTTGGTAAATCTTCAAGCCAGATTTTAACATGACAAATTACATCTTCTATATGAATTACTTCCCAATTCTCAGTTAACCAGACAGTATTATTTTTTGATTGAATTAAATGATCGGATGATCTAACATTGCCTGGAAGTTCTGGATAATACACAATTTTTTGAATATATAACAATTTTTCTTCACTATTCTCGTTTAGTATCACAATACCATTAATTTTCCCCAGCCGTTGACTTGCAGTTGTCTCATTCTGAATATTATAGAGTATAAAGTCTCCAGCTTGATAAAATATAAAATTGTATTATAAAATAGTTTAGAAAATAAATGATTATAATATTATAAAATTATAAATATTACTATTTCTGATTATATGCGATGTTTCGCTAAATAATGATGATTTTTTCCATATTCGTCCATGCCATAACTCTGTTCTTTTTAAAGCTTCAACTCCAAGACCAAAATATAATTTTAAATAAATTGATGGATTGTTAATAATGCGTTGAATGTGATCAAGAATAGAAAATGTATAACCTTCTTTAAAAGAAGTAGAGGTAGATGGGGTATTCATCAAATTAATATTAACATTATGACTATTTAAAAACATCAATGGAAGACTGTGTCACATTCATTTTAGTGTTATGATACTGAGAGGAAGATCGGATATACAAAAATCGGGATGTCAAAGAATATTTATTAAATCCTGATAAGCGTGAGATCCTACAAATTTGATTTACTAATTATTTAATATAAATTATTAATATTTTTTATAGATATTTATAAAAATTACCTATCATGTGTTTTGTATACCAAATAAACATCAACATCACAGATTTATTTGGAAAATAAAGTCTAGCCTCACCATTATAAGGTGGTATATCTTGAAGTCCATCATATTGATTTTTAAAATTAAAAGATATATCTTCATTTTCATTATCTTTATATTCATTTAGTTCCTCTTGGTTATCGTAACTTTCTTGATCATCATAACTTTCTTGATCATCGTAACTTTCTTGATCATCATAACTTTCTTGGTCATCATAACTTTCTTGATCATCGTAACTTTTTTGACTGTTATTACTATTATATTCTTGAAAATGATTTTCTAATTCAATTTCATTAGAACTGTTTTCCTGAACAGTGTTTTGGATATTAGATGATCTAATATCGACTGATGAAGTTAGATTAACATTTGTAGAATTAATCTGTTTAGTCTTTTGGTATAAAGAAAATTTGTATATATTAGGAATATTGGTATTATGTTCAGTAAAAGATTGTTGAACAATTTTTCGAAGATTAACTTTTTTGCCAATTTTTGGACGTATTGCTTGTCGCAAATTTGCTCCTTGCATTATTTACTTCTAATTTTAACCATATTAAACGAATTTTAATAAAAATCTAATAAAAGACGATAAAATATTTTTTTTTTTTTGTAAAAGAGAATTTTCGTGTAAAAAGTTTTATTTTTTTTAAATTTTATTATACCTCCTTTTAGCTAATTTGCAATTGAAACAACCTAAAAGTATTATGATTAGTAAGATAAACGTCACTCTGCATCACATATTGTTATGAAAAATACTTACCGAAGTATAATAAAATGGTTATTAGCACATGATCATACTTGTTCTGATATTGATTTATCAACTTGATTAGTAATACTATTAACATCATGATTTTAATCAAATTATATATAATTATCATTTTTTACATTTTATTACGCGATTCTCTCTCTTTAATTTATAAAATTTCTGAAATTATTTATAATATATCACCAAAAAAAAGACAAGCATCTAAAGTAACTAATATAACACCTAAAGTAACTATTAGGACTACTTAAAGTACTAAAGCTACAAAACCTGATAAAATTCAAGATGATGATAATAAACAAACTTCAATACCTAAAAAATCTAAAGAAGCTATTATGAACGTTTCTCAAGTTCAAGAGCAAGAGACTACTGATGATGATGATATATCCATTTATCAAGAAAAAATCTTTGATTATGATCATTTAACATCTAAAAAAATCAAAAAAAATATTAAAAATAATGTCCATCAAACTCAAGAAATTACTAATGATGATGTACCTGTTTATCAAGATGATCATCATAATTAAGAACAAGCTTTAACATACAAAAAATCAAAAAAAAATTATAGGAATGTTTCTCAACTTCCAGAATTCACTAACGATAATATATCTGTTCATTAAGACAAAGTTCTAGATTCTAACTCTGATAATGATCTTGAATCTGCTCTTATATCACTACTTTCTAAAAAAAACAAAAATAGTGATTTAAAAAATGCACTTAAATTATTACTTTCAAAAGAAAAAACTAAAAAGAGTTATGATCAAATTGAAAACGATTCAACTGACTGATCATTAAATAAAAAAGATTATTTTCATTTAGATTTATCATCGATTGAACCAGCTAATGAAGATTATTATAAAGAACAACAACGTGATCTGAACTTTAATTCATTATCTAAACAACTCGTCAATGGTTATTACAATTTAAAGATTAAAGAAAATAACCATCTGAATAGTAATTTAATCATAAAGGCTTCTCAAAAAATTGTTACTAATGATCAAATGCAAACAAATAAGTCTAGAAACTACCATCAAGGAGTTAAACATCATTATGATGTTAATAATGATCAAGAAGATGATCTCTTACCTGAAATTTCTTCAACAATGAAATCAATAGAGAAATATGCATCTAATAATAAAGAAATTACCAAAGTAAGTTATATTGTTTGTTTTTCTTTATAATTGATATTTGTTATTAAATATTTTAATATAGGTTACCAGTGAAAATGATTTCCGACATGTGTGATAAAATGAAGATAATGTTTATGCGAAGTCGTAATCCTGGCTCAGATGCAATTGCAGCTGTCATGAAAATTCTATTACCTAAACAAGGAAAAAATAATGAGAATATAAAATTTTTAAAAGGACGTAGCTTAGAATATATGGCACAACACCGTTCTCGTTTTAATAATGACCTTTGCTTTTATGCAGATGAATATATAAAAATAAATAAGTAAGTTTTATCAAATTTTTTTTTTCGTTATTTAAAAAATGTAAATATATTAATAATTGTTTATAGTTTAGTATTAATGTTATGCCAAATGAAGATGTAATATCATCATATATCACTAATAATTTTTTTAAAGATATTTTTTTCACACAATTAGCTGTTATCAAGGACGATTAATTATTCAAAGATCCAACTATTATCAATCCTTTGAAAATTTTTTTAACAAAGGCATTTATGTTACATGTAATACATTGTCTAACAAATTCTGATATGGATAATCATCATACATTACAACAAGTAAAAGAGTTGGACCATATAACTAATAATCTGATTATTCCAAATGTAACCCAAAAGAATGCTTCCAACCAAATTAATAATGTATCAGAAGTAATACATAGACATCATACACGTAGATTGCGCAAATAAATCATATTTAGACATGTATCTTTTAATGTAGTTTGTGTAATACTTTAATTATCTATATTGTAATGCATATTTGATGTAGTAAATTTTAACATTTTTAATGCAATATTTATGTAAAGCTTGTCAAAATGATTATTTAAAAATGTAATATTCGTATAATACGTTAGATATACATGTCAAAATAATAAAGCAAAATGATAATAATATAATACTTGACAATTATCCTTTTGTAATTATATATAATATTAGTGTTATAATTTAAAATCATATCAATATTAATGTTAATATATATGATAACATGCATAAATATGTTAACATTATAATTATATGTATGGTATAATGATTGCAAAATAATGTCATAAAAATTGACCTTGATAGAGTTTTATTAATTAAAAAACTTTTAAAAAATATTTTTAAAACATGAAAAAAGGAAGAAAAAATGGAAGAAAAAAATATTATTATTAATAACTAGAAATGTTAATGATTTTAAGAAGACGGTCTAAATCATGATCCAATCATAAGACTGATCACAATCCAATCATAAGACTGATCTCGATCCAATCTGAAGGTTGAGATTGGATCAAATCAGATTGGACTGGATCGATCCTTAAGACTGATTCTAAATCAATCTTATATAAAATTACATAACGTGTAATAACGCATCATAACATGATCATGTTTAGCCTAACCAGCCTAATTTTTTTAACGTAATATTAAATATATCATGTGAAATAAATTCTCCAAATAATGATAATAAATCTATATATTTTTCCAATTCTTTAGCAAGAGAGAAAGATACATCAACTTCAAAGTTCACATTTTCTTCAGATGTGTGGGAGTTTTTTGAAAAAATTCACAATTCATAAAATAATGTTGTAACAGAATATAAATGTACTGTTACAGGATGATTATAGCAAGAAAAATATAGCTCAGTAAATGATCAACATGTTTTACAAAATTGATCTACTAGAAGATTTACAAAAATGATCTACAGAATTAATCTACTGGATGATCTGCAAATGATTTACACATGTAACGTTAGAAATGTTAAACAAATGTTACATCACTTATATATTTGATATATTTGACATATCTGACATATCTAACATAACTGACATTTCTGACATGTCTAACATATGGAGCTTATCAATAGAAAAGATGGAAATCTAAAAAAATTTATTTTATAAGCTAATGTTAAATCTGAACTTATTTTAC